ATCATTTTTGTTAAATGCTTTTGTTCCTCTCATATTATTCTTTTTTTCTTTTTAGGAAAAATCATGGACTCTTTGTATTTCTAATCCCAATATTTCTCGCCCTTATCATAAAACGGAATGCGCTTCTAGAAATAGGAGCTATGAAAACATATGAATATGAGCTACAAGCGAGACTTAGAGATGAGAAGTGAGAGAAGAGTGAGAAATGATGCAAATTAGAAAGCGAATTAAACTAAAAGTTCATTAGAACACTTCAGGGTAGCACCATCACCAATATTCAAAATCTTTTCTTTCCACATATTATCATTGATCGTCGTATTATTACTGTTCGTCGTTTTGACTTCTGTTGCAGTGCATCTCGTTTTTTATTTAAAATTTTGCCGATAACTCATTTTGATGATGGATCTCTGTATTATTTTTCGAATAAGAGTTCGGAAAAATCACGGATGTAAGAAAAGGAGGAGAGCAGCGTTGCGTGAATTGTTTTCATATTTCTAATTTTTTCGGCGAATGAGTGAATATTTTTAAAAATTCCACCATCGTCCCCCTAGCTTTGCTCATTGGTGTGTTACACCATTGACTGCTAATCGCAAACTTCTGATTGGCGTTTTCTTAATTACTACTTAACACTCGGGGATGTCGGCCTCGAATAATCTCGGTAATCTCCGCGTTTCGACATGTTCTATTTTATTACTAGGATTTGCTATAAAATTTTGGTCTCCAGTCTCCGAGAGACTCTTGTTTACAAAGAATTTATTGATTTTGGATGATTTGGTTACAGAATATATCTTAAAAGAAATTCCACGCTTATCTTGAAAATAGGATTTTCAAGAAGTCATGTCTCTGGTCCCTTATCGGTAATTTAGTAATAAAAAAGAAGTTTTTTTTCGTTCGATGCATTATCTGTTTACTGATGAGCAGTCACTAGTTCTCTACTCGAATGAAAAGGAGTCCGTCGAACGTAACATTGTTTTGTTAGATTTTGAAAATTTTAGCCTGTTTTTTATGAAATATCAGTTCTTTAACTTTTAATTAATTTTTGTTAGCAAAAATTTTATCGCAAGTATCAACATTTTTATAGTGTTTGATAATTATTATTATTAAATTTATATAATGATTGAGTAATCAGAATCGATAATCGTTATAAGTATATTTTTTCTAAAAAATAATCGCGATTAAGAATTCTGTCTATTCTCGAAT